CGCGCCATGAATTTAATCACAGATTGTGCTTAGTATGCCCTCTGGATAACTGCGGAGATAAATTACAGCCAGAATAGGACTCTGTTGGATTGGATGAGGAATACAGTGCTTTTATTAGCAATAAAAATGAACTTTTTAAAAGCCAGTTCACAGGAAAATGGTGCAGGTATCCCACAAAAAAGGTAGACTCTTGTTCAGGTTCAGCACGTCCTTCGTTGTTTTAAGAACAAAAGATCCAATGGATTTGTCGCAGTGGCTTGAGTTAACAGGTAAATCCCTTGCCGCCGTGATTACCAGGCCCAGTTAACTGCGAGAAGAGAAGAAGTGAGACACCAGATGGGAGGAATAGTTTATTCTGTAGAGAAGAATAGGTTGAAAGACGTTGACAGTCCGACGAGTTCACAACCACTCGCGAGAGGGCCAGTGTTCGAAGTGTGTGAGTTTGGTAGCCCTCACAGGGGCCACAGTCTGGTGTTTTTGTGAGTCAGACACAGAGAGAGATGATTGACCAGACCGGATTGGAGTAGGCATGCGCTGGTGCATGCGCACTTGCTCGCAGCCGCGAATGGTCGCCCGGAATGGTGTCCTTCAGTACAGATTTACTGAGGTCTAAACTCGTTTTCATGGATCTGAAGAATTTATCTAAGCTCTGAGAGGACATTCCTGAAGAATTCAATCGCTTTCCAGATTTTGGTAGGCGCAGGTGGAAACATAGTTTACGATTTCTTCGTTGGCTTCGTACTTGACGTGAACTGGAATGATGGGGTTTGTTTACACAGCATACGCGCCAATGGACACGCCTGAGTAATCCACTGTTGTCCTCGTCGAAGGCGTTTGTTTACTTTTTTAAGCCGCCATCATCTGCGTTATGCGTTAAATGTTCCTACACGCATCGTGCTTCGTCACGTTAGAGTACCGAAATATAAGCATTACTCACTGAAAAATTCGTCGGGGCAGCTTGATTTCTTTAGGAAGTCCCTAGTCGCTAAGATCTTCTGTCTCTATTACGTATGGAAAATGGCGAGCCAGTTGGGAGAAGTCTTTTCTGTAAAAAAAACTTTTGGAGAAGAGGTTGGGAGAATTTGTCAGCCGGTGGAGAATACATCCGAAGTGCAAGGACATGGGCAGTCTTCATGATGCCCTAAATGAAACTATGTGTGAGTCAAACTTCAAAGTGTTTGGCCTGCTTGGACAGTGGGGATTGGCTGAGAGTAGGGCACGCGCACGGAATGTAGTCATGAGGGGTCCTGGGTTGCAGCAGGCGCTCACAGTCGGACTAATACAGCTTACCTTCACTTTCTTCTCTTTTCCACGTCCCCAAGAGAACTAATCACCCCCAATTCGGACTGAACACTCTCAACCCTTTCTCTACGACTATTTCTCCTTGGCTTTTCTTCATTTGTGACTCTACCGTAACGTACTTATGTTATTGCACATGCCTGACGAGGTGAAGTCGAAAACGCACGGTCGTCGAATTTGACTTCTTCAATACATGAATATCTTAATTTCCAGCCGGCATTATGAATTATTTTAAAT